AGGCATTGCTAGGAGGATAGAGGGTATGCATGCTAGGGAGAGAGAGGACAGACGGGGTCATGAAACAGAGGGAAGACGAGATCAGGAGAGAGAGTTTGAGGAGGCGAGGAGGCCTCGTAGACCGGGGAGATATGTTGGCCCTTATTTTGGAGGCAGGGTGCGTCATGGTAGAGGTTTTGTGGGTCAGCCAGTTCAGTTTGCGCTTCAGACTTTGCATGGTGACTCAGGTGTTCATGGGTCTCGGAGTACCCGTACCACACAGTTCCCCACCGCCTCGTCAGTAGAGAGGGTGCTTTGAGTGTGGAGATACTAGCCACATGGTGAGAGATTTTCCTAGACTTCGGACCGATGTGTCACACTGAGGTATTCAGACGAGTAGAGGGCGCCTAAGAGGGGGAGGCCCAACCCGTTGATGTGTTTCATATAGTAGGCTTAAGGCCGCTATGCCAGGTGATGTCATTCATAGTAACTTAACTTTTGGTTATACTGGTGTGGTGTGAGCTCAAAACCGTGATAATATCAACTGTTTTATATTTCTGTAACTAAAGAGTAATTAACATCAAATCTCATGCCGGAAGCTGCATGGCGTGCAGTGTGAAGCATAAGATTTTTAGTTATACAAAGGATATCTGTTTCTTCTCTTATCATTTTTTCTTTAATTTTGTGGTTAGAAAATTTTCTCACCTAGGGTTAGGTCTGATGTGCTCGATACTTCATGGGGAACCTTATGGTTTTGCTGCTTTTGCCCTGAGCATTAACTTGCTGGCCTCTAATTTCTAGTCAAGAAATGAGTTCTGATTACTGTATCTTGTTAAATATGAGCACTAGAGCATTTTAGAATAGCTTCAGTAGAAGGCCTATCCTGTTACTTCTCCAATTGTGTTTTATGCAATAAGCATAGATGTCATATAAAAGTTGGATTCAATTCAATGGAGTCTCTCCAACATGCACCATGACTTTTTCTTTAAATTATCTGCGCAGGCGTCAAGTTTTGGAGGTTCCAACATTGATCCAACTGCCTGGGAGGATAAAAAGTGCAAAGGAGAGTCAAGGTTTCCTGCTCAGGTGAGGTTATGAATTACAGCTCACTTTTTATTGAGGCTTTTTGAAGAATCTGTATTGATTATTCAGTTTCATGTACTTAACGGTTAGGTAAGGATCCGTGTCCGGAAAGTCTGTAAGCCTTTGGAGGAAGATGCTTTTAGACCAGTTTTACATCATTATGATGGCCCCAAGTTCCGCCTGGAGCTCTCTGTGCCTGAGGTAAGATGAGATTTTGTTCACGTATAAGTTCCATTCACCTGTTATTTGGGGACTACAGATTTTTAACCCCTATAACCTTATTGTTTTGCAGACTTTGGACTTACTAGATCTCTGTGAAAAAGCTGATGTCTAGGTGCTATGTGCACGTGCTGGTGTCCTGTACTAATAAGCATAAAGGAATTGTAGCCTATGTGTATGTTATAAGTTTGTGGTGCATGTCAGCAGTGTGCTGTCTGTAGATTCTCCAGAGCGCAAGCTTTTGGGGCAAGTCTGGTTAAGCGGCTCTAAATTTAGGATAGCTTGTGTAATCCAAATAAGTGTAATGCTCATCTCTGAAGATGTTCGTAGATTAGCTTCACAAATTTAGCCATGTAATCTTACTGTAAACTTGAGACTAGTAAGAAGATTATGTAACACGTCAAGATGGAATGTGTTTCTTTATCTATAGTTGAGCTCTGCTTCATCCAATTTGTTCCACTTGAATTCTTAAAATTTATTTCCTTTCTGGCGATGCCAGTGTGTATCCACCAGGAAATTTGGTGCGGGTTGTCATGAGAATATTAGGTTGATGGTGAAATTGTATCCAGCGACAAGTTTCTGCAGAAACCATGTGGCTATCTTTGGCTCATTAGGGAACAGAGATAGATTAATGGGTACGAGAAACCATGTGGCTATCTTTGGCTCATTAGGGAACAGAGATAGATTAATGTGTCGTACCCAACGTTGACTGGGACTGTTAATGGTCCTTCCGCTGCTCATATAGAGTATGAAAAGCAGTTGTTTGGCTGGGACTGTGAATGGTCCTTCCGCTGCTCATATGGAGTATTGAAAAGCAGTTGTGGGACCGTTAACTATCCCCACAAATATCGTCGTCATGTTAAAGAAGTGCCAACATATAGTACGTCCGAATAATAACCTAGATACATGTACCAAAATAATTGTGTTAAACTTTACTTTGAAGTGTTTGGTTTGGACAGACTGCACAACCTGCAATTTGGTTTTCCTTGTATATAGCGATCACAAGTAGAAATACCGAACACTGACCAACTTTAGTATAAACTTCTGTCGGATGGGAATTCTTGCGGCATTATAAAATGTTAGTATTCAACCAAAACATCTGGCTGGAATACAGACTGTCAGAATGGGAACAGAAGTGGAGCAGACAGCAAAGTTTCTTGATTGAAATGGAGTACAATATGTCCAATTGGTTGAGCCAAAGTATCATTTCATGCATGGAGCTAGACAGCGAGATGTAAATGCATGAAGGTTACAAGGCGTAGAAGAAATAGAACAGTACGTAGTATTATTCCATCAGAAGTGCAAAAGCAACATCAATTATCTGACGAGCAAAAAAAGGCAGCACCTTTATAGTCTGGCTGTGGAAGCTAAATGTTGTAGGACATCCTGACTTTTCATNGGGGACTTCCCCTTAGGATTTGAGTCTTCTCTGTTGATTGTAATCCGAGTACGCGAGGTGACGAGTGCGTGCTCGAACTTATTTGTGGAAACTTGGCCTTTTAGGATTCTTAGGTCCTTATATTCACCGAGTATGAAGTTGTTCTTGATATGGTTGAATTCCCTATTACTAGTTTCACCTCTACATGTTTTACTTGGAATTAATTGCTTTATGGTTCATTCTTATTGCCTAATTGACTCTTACTATATCTTTCATAACTGCTTGTTTTTATTGGAAATCATTATTATCTCCCATGTAATTATTTAGTCTTAATTGAAATTGTTGTATATCCTTCGTAACCTGCCCAACCTTTAGAAGAAGAGTAGATATTCTATGTTTAGTTGATATTTCCTTATTTGAAATTTACTTGACTCTTGTTAACTCCCTTATTGTTGAACTACATGCTATGGGGTCGTTGCTTCATATTATTTTCTCCCTTGTTGAGTTGTTCTTATTACGTTTAGCATTCTCTATTGTAGTTATTCCTTGTGAGCTAGTTTTACTGTCCCCTGGTGAACGAAAGATTCTTGAGTTGATTCATTTGTTGTGCTTTATATATATATTGTCATTGTTGTTGTTGTACTTGGGGTGTTGATGCACGAGGTTTCTGCCGTGCGGTTGTTGATATTGTGATGCACGAGGTTTCTGTCATGCAGTTGTTGTTGTGGGGTCGCACGAGGTTTCTGCCATGCCATTGCTACTATTGATATATATTGCACATGCGGCGTAACAAGGCGGGATATGTATATATGCTTATATGTGGGTTGCGCATGTGGCGAAATAAGGTGGGAACATTATGATACACGTGTGGCGAAACAAGGCGGGCACTTATTATGTTATTATTACACGCGTGGAAGAATAAGGTGGACTATGTCAGGGATTGATTGTAAGGATTTGTGACGGCCTGTGGAGGCATTCTTATTCTTGTTTAATATTGTGATTGTGGGTTGCTTACCTGTATGAGTTTTGCCTCGTGGAAGTTGTGAGGAAACATTGTACGTGCTGCCTTTTCTTCTTCGCACGCTTATTAGCTGGTAGAAATTATGTTAAAGCACTTGCACAAGTATACACGTAGTTGAACACCCCTATTGTACGTAAAGTCCCCCGATTTTGCTTTGTATAGATGTAAGCCCCCGTTACTTATCCTATATGCGGGAGTGGCCCTAGTTAGCAAGTGAGTTGTCAGTGTGACCGTGAGACTGATGAGGGCACGGGATGCCAGTTGTTAGATTTCAGGTACTAGGACTCGTGAGTTGTAATTGTCCGAGATTCGGTAATTCGTGGTGATTGTTGGATAAGACCTGATGTGAACTCCGTCGAAGGATCTGAGTTGTTGTTTTGTTTTCCCTTTTCTGTATTGTGACTTTAGGATTTGGGATGAGTTTTTGCCCGTTCTTATGTGTTATCATTCTTAATATTTTCGTTGTTACTTGTTGTTCTCTTCCCTTATTGTGATTGTAGTATTTGTTGGTCATTTCGCACAGTCTTTATATGAATATATATCTATATATATATATATATGTTCCGTTTTTCCTATCCTTGCACTGTTTATTAGACCGGTAGGTGTCTCGACTGTTCCTCGTCACTACTCCACCGAGGTTAGTCTTGATACTTACTAGGCACCGCCATGGTGTGCTCATGCTACTCTTCTGCACATTTTTATTGTGCAGATCCAGGTATTTTCCACTCAGTTCTATCATCCTTGGGAGGAGGCGTTCTGTAGAGACTTCGAGGTATATCTGCTACGTCCGCAGACCGAGAAGTCCCTTTCTATCTTCTGTAATAAGTATAGCCCCTTCAGTATTGTCCCTTGTTTAGATATTTCTGGAGTAGAGCTTCTTATGTATCTCATAGCTTGTGATTTGTGAGATTCCGGGTTTTGGGAGTCTTTGTTAGCTTCGAGAGTTGTTATTGTATGTGCCGAGCGGCACCTTAAACACTATTTATTTTATTATTCCGATTTTAATTATTTCTTCCGCAGTTATTGTTATATATTCCGCAGTGTTAGGCTTACCTAGTCATAGAGACTAGGTGCCATCACGATGGTTCACGGAGGGCGAACCGGGGTCGTGACATAAATTGTTTGCTCCTTCTTGCCAGTGATATCATGTTGGCCCAACACACAACCAAACGAATTATCCAGGACTATCAAATAAAGAATCAAAGGCCTCCCGGGTTCTGGCAGGACTAGCACGGGTGGGTTTGACATGTACTTCTTAATCTTGTTGAATGCCTCCTAACACTCATCGGTCCATCTGACCACGTCATCCTTCTTGAGCAACTTAAAGATGGGCTCACAAGTTGTCGTGAGTTGAGCGATAAACCTGCTGATGTAGTTTAACCGCCCGAGCAAACTCATCACCTCAGTCTTGTTCTTTGGCGGTGGCAATTCCTGGATGGCCTTAATCTTCGACGGATCCAACTCGATACCTCGCCGACTGACTATGAACCCCAACAGCTTCCCCGATGGGACGCCAAATGCACATTTTGCAGGGTTGAGATTAAGATTGTACCTGCGGAGCCTCTGGAAAAAACTTTCTCAAGTCTCCGACATGGTCTGACTGCTTCTTGGACTTTATGATCACATCATCTACGTAGACCTCAATCTCCTTGTGTATCATGTCATGAAATATGGTAGTCATTGCCCTCATGTAAGTTGCCCCAGCATTTTTCAAACCAAATGGCATTACCCGGTAGCAATATGTTCCCCATGGCGTTATGAATGATGTCTTTTCCGCATCTTCCTCATCCATTAAGATCTAATAATATTTCGCATAGCAATCCACAAAAGACCCGATCTCATGCTTGGCATAGTTATCAATCAAAATGTGGATATTTGGCAATGGGAAGTTATCCTTCGGACTTGCTTTGTTGAGATCACGGTAATCAACACACACCCTGGTCTTACCATCTTTCTTTGGCACAGGCACAACATTAGCTAATCAAGTGGGATAGCGCATGACTCGAATGACCTGCGCATCAAGCTGCTTTGTGACTTCTTCTTTGATCTTCACACTCATTTCAGTCTTGAACTTCCTTAATTTCTACTTGACGGGAGGGAATGCTGGATCAGTTGGCAATTTGTGAACTACCATGTCAGTACTCAAACCCGGCATGTCATCATACGACCATGCAAAAATATCTTTATATTCAAACAGTGCTTTGATATTTCTTCCTTGATTTGTGGTTCCAGGTGTACACTAATCTTGGTTTCTCTGACATTATCTGGATCTCCTAAATTGACTGCTTCAGTTTCATTCAAATTAGGCTTGGGTTTCTCTTTAAAGTGATTTAGTTCTTTACTAATTTTCTCAAATGCCTCCTCCTCATCGTATTCTGTTTCATCCTCACACGCTACTTCTTGGATTATTATTTCAGAGTTAGATTGGCTTTTAAGACTTGGCCGAAAATTCCTCATGCATGTCATGTCATTGAAACCAGCATAAAAATAACTGTACAAGAAAAGAAACAAAAATGACACTATCAGGAGTAATGGAAAAGGAAAATTGCATTTCATTGAAAATAACGGATAAAAGGGTTTGAACATCAAAACAAGAGAAAATAAAAATCTGGATTACAACCCTGGAATAACCCAGATAACTAAAAGGAAAACAAAGCAAACTACCAAAACTCCTTCCAAGTAGGGAGAGGAGTAGCCTTCCAATTGTTATGCTTCACTTTTGGCCCGACGAACTGCACATCCGCTTTGCTGGAACCTTCCCTAATTTCCACCATATTCACCTCATCAAATAAACTCTGGAACCTTTAAATTAGTTCTTCATCAACGTCGACCACAGGCTTTGGGACAGCTGACACTGGGCGGTTCACGCCCCCTGGCTTGAAGAAGGACTTGGAGAGGCGTGGGTAGGCTTCGGGAGTGACCATGCCTTCTTTTTCGACCTTTTAGCCCTTTTCACATCGTCCCCTGTGGGCTTGAATCCTAGACCAAACGTACCCAGATTTTTAGGTAGAGACACTGGCTACACGATACCTTGTAAAGATGCGCCCAGAC